ACTCATACTGCACAATTTGTTTGTATTTTTGATTTCACCCCTTAAGAGTTCTTCGTGCACAAATATTGTATTATTTCATAGGTGTCATTTACGCTGTGGACACTGGGGACACGTCTCCATCACTTTGTTTAAAGCATTTGTTAAATATGTTCTGAAAAATGAGTTGCAATAAGAAATGTTAAAAAAAACCAAATTAAAATACTTTGAGAAAGGTTTATTTGCACAATAAGAAAATATGCAATGCAATTTAAAGATAAAAGAAATAAACGTGAAGCTAAAAAAATCTAAATCACTTTATTTAAATAAAGACAATTCAACCATAAATTGGTGCAGGAAATGTCTCCAGAATGCAGGAAATTAAGTGTTTAGTGCTCAATTTTTTTTTAGAGGACCCCCACTTATATATTTCAGCATTGAATATTTCATCAAATAGTGTTGAAATATCTTGTCTTGTTCTCGTGAACCCAATATTGTGAATTGTGCATGTGAGCTAAGTGTATCGTCACACCTCTAATCTGAACCCTTGTGTCTCTTTTCAGCACAAAGTGACGTCCTTGATTCATTTTATCTTATCAAAGTACAAACACACCCCACAAAGCTTTAGTATGTTAAATATGAATGTATTATAATAAAATGTTTTATTAATGTAACTTGGTAAATAATTTTCTCAGGCTTAAATTAATACAGATTTTCCATTAAACGGCAGTGAAGTTGGTAATTAAATTTAATCCTAGGTGGTCTTAAAAAGTCTTGAATTTAACTTTGAGAATCCTGAGGGTACCCTGTGTTTACTACGGCGTGTAGCCCACGCCGTCGACTGCAGCGCACACTTGATGCAGAAGCATAAACTGGCCTATATTTTTAAAGAGGTCATATTCTGCTTTTTGCCTTTTCCCCTCTCCTTTATTGAGTTATAAACCTCTTTTGTGTATGTAACAGGTTTGCAAAGTGAAAAAGCCCAAAGGAAGTTCCCATCTTCCACAGAAAACTCTGCTCTGAACTGAAAACAGCTCCGTTTGTAGTCCAGCCGCTTCCCTTTCATGCTTTCAAGCTAAACGCGCCTCATATAACGCTGGCCAAGCGGCGACTCCAACACGCCCTCAGAAACAGCGAGCTGCAGCACACAGCTCTCCTCTCCCTTCCAAACACTAGCTACCCTCCAGGCAGTCAGTGGACAGAAAGTTGTTCCTGTGATGTAGAGACAGAGCTCAGTTAAAACTTTATGGATACAGATTAATAACTCACCGCTCTGAAACTCTCGCTCCAGTCCGGCTGAACCCGAGCCGTTTACCGGCTTCTCGCTGACCCGCCCTTCTCTGCTTCTGATTGGCTAGTAGTCCTTAACTAGGAACTGAGCATGTGCAACTCCCAACAAAGATCATTTAGAGACAAGATGTATCACTCCATAGTTAAAACGAAGCCTTCAACACAGGCTGAAAAGAGGAGCTGCAGCAATGTGCAGTATGACAAAAATATAACCATGTAAACCTGCTCTGGTATAACCTCTAAATAAGATGAGGAACCTGAAAATGAGCAGAATACCACCTCTTTAAACTTATTCTTAAAAACAATGTATAATAAGTATTACAATTAAGAGATGCTAATTATTATTATTGTCAGGAAACAAGTGCAACATATTCCACTCCCTCTCTCTCAGAGACAACTTAAACCACAGCAGTGTGGTTGATTACTGACAACAACTGAGAGCTTAACAAATATAATTAATTACAAAAACAGGACAAACAAAGTCTTTATAAATGTACTGACTGCAGAGACTGCAACAAAAAACCAAAATCTTTCACAGTGATGAAAAACTCTGTAGCTGGTATTTGTTCTGGAAAGAGGGGCAGAGAAAGAGAGCTGAGTGAGTGGCCCCTGAGCTGCTGAAGGGCCCCACTTGATCTGTGCCCAATGCTCTATGCGTCCTGTAGATCAGTGGTCGATTGATCGGAGCGCCCTTTAAAGCCATGCATAATTAAGGGTGACGTCACGCTGGCTATATCCTCTTCCTTTACACAGTCTGTGGGTTCAGTCCATTTTTAGCACCATAAATGTAAATGATAAAGAACATAGCGGTTCTTGCGGTTGACTTATCAATAGCGCGGTATTTGAACATTGTGGTTATCAAAACACCACCAGAGAGCGATGTTCCCTTCTTGTCTAAATAGTTCTGAATCGGTAAAACTCTCCGAGATTCAAATCAAATGAACTCACTAGGCGAGACCCTTGAGACGGTGGACATTTTCTCTGAATGTGAATGACTTGCAGTGAGGTAATTATGGCTCCGCCCTCTCCTCTCTGCAGGGTCAGGTGACCTCTTCAGGCGTGTCTCCTGCCGCCTCCTCTTCTTCTTCAGCTCAGATCCTGGTGACGTCCGGCGCCTCCTCCGCCTCCCTCCACCAGCCGCCTCCCCTCCTGCGGCCCTCTCTCCCAGCCACGCCCTCCTTGCACCGCCAGCCCCCGCCCCTCCAACAGCAGGCCCGGTTTCTGCAGCCCCGCCCCACCTTGCAGCAGCCCCCGCCTCTCATCCGCCCCTCAAACACCCTGCCCCCTCGCCTTAACCCACGCCCTCCGGCTCCAATGACCCTCTGCGGTAACCCCGGGGGTTCCGGTCCAAGCTCCGCCCAGCAGCCCCCCGGGCTGGCCGTCCACCAATCGGAGACGGCTTCATCCTCCTCCATCCACTAACGAACGTTTCTGTTGAAGACGCAGAAAAAAGAAAATGTCTGCAAGGCTGCTGCCTTCAGGTCCTGTGGGAAAATCTGAGTGACTTTATTCTTCAAAACGATGACAGCCGTCGCAGCTTCAGGTTACGACACGAAATCCAAACCTGAGTGTTTGTTATTTGGTGCACAGCATTTTAGGGGTTGAAGTTTGTCTTTCCCACAGGACTTCGCGTGCAGTGCACCTGCTGGTGGACACCTGGTTTTAAAATCTGTGTTTTCTAAAAAAGGGTTTGACTCAGAAGTCGTGTCAGTCTTTAGGAATCTGTCACATTATTAACGCAGAACCTTTTCAGCCAACAACCAATCCTCTTCAGACATGTGGCGTCCCTCAGGGTTCAATCCCGGGTCCCTTCTTCTTCTCCATCACATGTATATAAATGCATCAACAGAAACAGCAGCACTTGGAAAACATTTTCAACACCCTTGATTTAGTCGCTCTCAGTAGCAGCCTAAGTGATGCTAAAGGCTGATGTTGAATTATTATCAACTGCTAAATTAATTTCTTACAATAAGAAATGTAACATTTGTATTGATTTCTTTTATCCTTCCGGAGTTCACTACATTTACACTACATGTCTCTGCTGACATGTCGTTAGTCGGTCGGTCCAGCTGTAGTTTCTACTCAAACAGGAGGAAATGTTGTTGTTGTTGGGGACAGCGATGGAGCTCTGGTGCTCAGAGGAGGAAGGTTTCATCTGCACAAGATGAAAGTCATACTTCAGTGCTGTGCTACTAAGACAGCATTGTTTATTTAAATGATTATACCAAGTTACAGGGAACCCGCAATGTCGTGGTAACCGATAGTAAATAAGCTTTCTGACAGTCGTGATGTTTCAGTAACAGATGGAGATTAAACTGAAGGCTTCAGTGTTGTGTACAGTAGCGTTAGACATCACCTTGTACAGTTTGGTATCTGTTTGAATAGAGAGCCTAACTTCCGCCCCTTGGGACCTTATTTCAGAAAAACGATGTACGGTAGGCAACAATGAGACACCACTAATGTTTAGATCCCGTTTGAATTGTGTCCCGAATTACACACGATGTTTGTCTGTTTAAAAGATCACTTAGGTCAAGAAAGTTGCAGTTTGTCTTAAAACAGTAAAGTAACATTTAGATTTGCGTGAAACGGTTTAATAAACTACATCTCTCGTCTCTCACAATATAAGTCAGCAACATGTTGGTGCCGTAATGCTAAGCTAACGTTCACGGCTTGCTTATTACTTGCTAGGTAACTTAGCTATGTTCCACGCAGAGATGGATCGCACCTGATGTGTTTAATCCTACGACACCTGGTCCTTTCATCACATCATCTACACATGGTAATGTTAGCTTCAGTAACGTTAGCTTCAGTCACGTTAGCTAGAGTAATGTTAGCTTTAGTGACGTTAGCTTCGGTGAAATTAGCTTCAGTGACGTTAGCTTCAGTCATTGAGAGAAAGTTCTTTTCAGTCTTATATTTCAACAGTTTTATGAGAAACTGCGACTTTCTTCTCTTAAATGATCTTTTAAACAGACAAACATCATGTGTGTAATTCAGGACACATTTCAAACTGGATCTGAACATTAGTCTTCTCACCGTTGACTAACCTACATATTTATTCTGAAATAAGGTCCCATGGCGGTCCCCCAACAGGGGCGGGGCTTAGGCTCTGTGTAAGCAGTTGTCCATCCAATCAGCTGTCAGTAACTAACTCTGTGCTGCTGTCCATTTGGTTTTGTAGTTGATGCTTTTTGAAAACACTAAAGTTTCACCCAGACGTCCTTCAGTGTGTTAACTCCATGTTTTCTGTAGAAATGTGAAAAACGTTCCCCGCTGTTCTTTGAACTGTTCTGTTGTTGGGGTGAATTTTCCCAGAGTTGCTGTTGTTTTGTTCCACATGTTGAAGATTCGTTTTGAAACTAAAAACCTGTGATGTCGGTCTGTCTTTTCATTATTTATTCTTCTTCTTCCTGGTGCTACCAGTCCGGTGTAAAAAATCATTGTGAAAGTGCTCTTAATGCTTTTTGGACATTACATGTATTATTACGGCAGTAAATGTATTGAAATCATAGAGTCCTTTGAGTTTCAGTCGTTAGATGTTGAGGTGAAGCTGCAGAGACCTTCTCATTAAAAAAAAAATACATTTGTACCATGTGACCTTCTGTCTTTATTACGCCCACCGGTGCGATCGACAGCCTCTAACGCCTGTCTTCACTACGTCTATAATGTTCAGCGTTTGCTGACATTGTTATAAATTCATTAATTCATTTCTGAATCTTCTTTTTGAATCTGGCTCTTGTAGAATCTCGGTTCTGGTTCCAACTCGATCACCGCAGAGCTCGTCAGCGCTCGGTGACCTTCATCTACTTCCTCCTTGCTCATCTTAATAATAACATATTTTTATAGCGCCTTCAAGGAGCCCGAGGACGCTTTACCCCATTATTAAAGACTGTTTGTACGTGAGTATTTACATTTTATGCTACTTTGTACTGCAGTATATTTATTTGATGACACTAGTTACTTTGCAGATTTACAATAATACAAAAGAAGATGAATCTAAAGTTATTAAAATGAGCTCCACCTTCAGTGTTAAAGTGATGAACACATGAAGGTGAAATGGTGAGTTAGCAGCAGTCCTAGTTTGGATGCTGGGCTTGCTGTTCCCACAGTTTGTGTTTTAATGTAAAGCACATTAAGTTATCTTTAATGTATCCATATCATTTCTGTATCATATTTTATAAACATATCAGATCATATGTTGTCTATGAAAAGAAGTCACGTGCAAAGTAACTATAATTGTAGAAAAGATTTTCAAAATAAAACCAGGACACTAGTGCACACGCTCTCATTTATGGCTTTAATATTAATAATATATCAATAAGATAACGCAGTGAAAGGGGACACTCTGCACCATCAGTACTTTTACAGTATTTTACTGATTCTGAAATAAGAAGTTGTTACAACAGAAAATCTAAATATAAAGGAGTGTGTGTGGAAGTGAATTAAATACTTATAGTGATTATTAGTACTTCACTCTACTTTTATTTTACTACTTTTACTCGTTCTGAGTACTTTTAACAGCACCGAGTTTATTTCCTTTATTGAAACTCCGCAGGAATAACAACAGGTTGTTAAGTCACTTCCTGCTGTTAGAGTTTCCTCTTCCGCTGCGGCGTCCGCATCGGCCAGACTTAATCAATACAGAATCAGAAGCATCGATCCGGGCTGAGGAGCGGGGGACGCGCTGCGGAGCTGATGGTCTCCGAGCCTGCGGTGAGAAACCCCGCTGACCTCCGTCCGTCTGCGTGTTTGGGGAAAGTGAAAGGAAAAGATCTCGAGCAGAGGACAGCAGTTAGAAAGGGTGTATTTTGCGTGTTCCGGGTACTTTAAAGCATCCAGACGCAGCGCGCGCTGCGCGCAGCGAGGGCGGCTGCGGGGATTCCCCTGCACGCGCGCGCGCACGCGCACAGCCCGCCTCACCCGCAGGTACCTCGCTGCTTTCATTGACGTCACTCCGAAGGTGCTGATGGTCATTAGCGATACAGGGTCACATGTAACCGCGCGCGCATCCTCAGCACGTGTAGGAGCCGCTCAGCTAATGGGTAGGTTTACTTTTACTTTTAATACTTCAACCCCCTTCAGCTGAAAATACTTTTACTCCAGCGTGAGGTTTTTAATGGAATGGAGTAGTTTTACATCGAGGTATTTGTACTTTTACTGAGTGAGTGGAGGGGCACGTGCACGTTTTATGATCAGACGTCTAATTTCCACCTGAGCTCTGTGCTCCAATAGAAACGCACTTTGGTGTTGTTGCTTATTAGACTGCGGGACGCTGGGGACGCTGGGGACATGTCCCTGTCGCTTCCATGAAGGCATTTTTTTAAGAAATGTTAAATGAAAATGCTAGAGAAAGGTTTATTTATACAATAAGAAAACATGCAATGCAGTTTAAATATAGAAGAAACAAATGTCCAAAAGAGTAAACTAAAAGACAAGCTGCTGATTACTGTTATATTTTTATATTTTCTATTCTCAACCTGCCACCTTAATTTTGTGCTTAGAAACATTTCCACCATAAATTGGAGCACAAAATGTCTCCAGAATGCAGGAAAATAAATATTTAATGTTCAAAATCTTCTGGGGGAGAAAATAAAAAAAATATCTTTAAGTGGGAAAAAAAATAGGTGCCCCCATTATGTTATTTAGTCCATGGTAGTAACATTTTCCCCTTCAGACCGTTTGACCAACGCAGTTTGGGACTGCATGCTGCACGTGAAACCAAAAGTAAATGAAACACTTTTGATCAGAGATCAAGCTAAACTACTGACTCTTACTCTCTAGCTGCTTCGCTGCTCCTCAGATTTTTCACCGTAATGTAATGACATCATCACGAGCGTTTAACACGATGACCCGAATGACAGAAGCTTTGTGCAGCAGGTATAAATCTCCCGCTCTCAGTTTGGGGCAAATGGTTAAAGAGCTTTCACTGGTTAATCGATGGTTAATTCTAGTGAACTAGCCTAAGTTTTTAAAATAGATTCAGAGAATTTGTTTAATTTCACCCTGTGTTAGATCTACGTCAGCCTGGTCGTCTGTAGCTTCACAACGAGTTGAACATTTTAAATAGAATTAAATGTTTTTTGAAGTTCACAAAAGTAAAGTCACTAAATAGAGTCACTCACTGAATAACGTCTCACTGGAAACAAATCTAGAATGTATGTAAAATAAATCATATCGATCATTGATTAAATCACCTGCGTCCTCTGTTCAGTCTGTCCTCCTGCAGACTAATGGCAGCAGCGGATACAAAGCCTGGAGGATCTGAGGAGTCCAGTTTGCGGTCTGAGGAGTCCGTGATGAGGTCCCAGGAGTCGAGGCTGGGGTCCGATGAGTCCAGGCAGAGGTCATCGGGCTCTGTCAGCTCCTGGGAGTCGGAACTGACCACCATCCAGCACTCCCTGAAGTTTGTGTTGACGCTGAAGGAAGAGTTTGTTTGTCCCGTCTGCAGAGGAGTCGTTCTCAACCCTCAGCAGAACTCCTGCGGACACATCTACTGCTTCCACTGCCTGCAAGGACTGCTGTAGGAGCCAGTCCACCTTAATACACACCCACACTCACACAGTCCACCTTAATACACACCCACACTCACACAGTCCACCTTAATACACCCCTAAAACAGACTCACACTGACTCAATCCAACTTAAAAAACTCACAGTCCACCTTAAAAGACACCCACACTAATGCGGGTCCACCTTAAAATACACTCAGACTGAAGCAGTCCACCTTAAAATACACTCAAACTGAAGCAGTCCACCTTAATACACACCCACACAGTCCACCTTATAAACACCCCTTAAACAGACTTACGTTGACTCAGTCCACCTTACAAAACTCAAGCACTATTTACCTTAAAATACACCCACACTCACGCAGTCCACCTTAAAATACACCCACACTCACGCAATCCACCTTAAAGTATACTCAGACTGACGCAGTCTACCTTAAAACACCTCTAAGAGAGACTCACACTGACTCAGTCCACCTCAAAAAACTCTCAGTCCACCCTAAAAGACACTCACACAGTCCACCTTAAAACACACTCAGACTGACGCAGTCTACCTTAAAACACCTCTAAGAGAGACTCACACTGACTCAGTCCACCTCAAAAAACTCTCAGTCCACCCTAAAAGACACTCACACAGTCCACCTTAACACACACTCAGACTGACGCAGTCCTGAACTCACTGGGCTTGTTTGAGCTGACCTCGACAGTAGGCCACGAATGTCAGTATCAGTATAAATTTGTGAGAAACCGCTTCCTGACTGAACGACGATGAAGGAAGTCTCGTCATGTAACTGTGCGGTGACCACCACGGGGTAAACACCCCCAACGAGCGCTCCAGCTGTCAGCAAGTCGTTTCCCATCAGGCATTTCAGTTCTGCAGCACGGGGAGAGAAACAGCGGCGCCTAGCTCTTAAAACTGTGCGCGTCTTTGTCCCACGAGATTTCCACATCTCACACAGTCGAGCTGCTGGAAGTGGGACCGAATCGTTAACCATCAGAGACGGGTCCAGTCCTCCCTCCTGAGGGCCCGGTCCCGTGGTGAGCCATGTGCTGATTAGCTGTCAGCGTCTAACTTTCAAACAAATGCTGTTCTAATAACCTTACATGTGATCAGCAACTATGTTCTAAGGGGGTCTGAGGGAGGTCCAAGGGGTTTGAGGAGGGCGGGGTCCGAGGAGGGGGAGGTCTGAGGAGTCCAAGGGAGATCTAAGAAATCTGAGGATCCAAGGCAGGTCTGAGGGGTCTGAGGGTTCCGAGGAGGCAGGTCTAAGGATGCTGCAGTTGGACCCTTTTGAACCATCAGGTCTTGCACTCGAAATTGCGCAGGTCTGCGTCGGTCCGGCTCATCTCAAACAAGCCCACTGACGCAGCTGGCTGTCTGAAGGCACCTGTAGCGGAGGTCTTTGGCCGAGTCCTGTACTCGGTCCTGGTGGCTGTTTCCAGTCAGACCTCTCTGAGTGAAGTGGCTCAGTCGTGGTTTCGGGGTATGAACCTCAGCCTGCTGTGTGTTTCAGGGAGAGTTCATCACCGTCCAGCCCCGTTTGTCCAGTGGACGGCGTTGAGATCACGCCAGCTGAGGTCAGGACCAAACCTTCTGCTGCACATTCACACTTACACACAAGTATTTCAGTCGGTGGCTGAAAGAAAGAGATGAGCTGACTGTGGCTTCTCACAATACTTGGGTTCAGGAAATCTTAACAGTGGCTGGGGCTCAGGAGGTACAGGGGTCCTCCACTTATCAGAAGGTCGGTCCCATCCTCCTGTCCTTGAGCAAGACACTGAACCCGAAATTGCTTCGATTTCTGTGCCATTGGTGTGTTAATGGGATGAATGTGACGTAGTGTAAACCACCATCACCAAGATGTGTTGTAGCACCGTAGAAGAAGAAAAGAGCTTTACTCGAGTGGCCACGTCTGATCCACCTGTAGTCACAGCAGGTGGAATATTCACCGGCTGTGCTACTCATTGGCTTCGACAGTAAAGGCGGTCCTAAAGGTGTCATTCCTCCTGATTGGACTCCAGCCCACCGCGTTTGGAAAAAGTGTCTAAATATTTAAAAGCACACTAATCAGGAGTTTCCTCCCTGCAGGTTTTCCAGGACAACTGCTGCAAACGGGAAATCTCAAATTTAGAAGTGTACTGCACCAACTCTCCGGCCTGCAGCTCCGTCGTCACGTTACACCATCTGCAGGTAAACTTTAGACATAAAGGTAGACTTAGATTTGTGTGAAAATACACGAGCTGATGTTTAGGGAACTCTGGACCACCGGGTGCTCCTTCCACTACTAGGCACCTTGAACACAGTGAGGAGTAACATTGGTCAGCCGTAACATTATGACCACAGACAGGTGGTTACCGTGGCACCTGCCAGTGGGTGGGATACATCAGGCAGCAGGTGAACGTTGTGTCCTCAGAGTTGATGTGTCTAGGCAGCGTGAGGATTTGAGCCACTTTGACAAGGACCAAACTGACGGCTAGACGACTGGGTCAGAGCATCTCCAAACTGGTCTGCAAGGATCAGTACCTATCAGAAGGGGTCCAAGGAAGGAAACGTGGTGAACCGGCGACAGGGTCATGGGTCAAGCTCACTGATGCACGTGGGGAGTGAAGGCTGGCCAATGTGGTCCGATCGGCAGAGGCAGTGTGATGCTTTAGGCAATGTTCTGCTGGGAACCCTTGGGTCCTGCCATTCGTGTGGATGTTACTTTGACACGTAGCACCTGCCTGAGCTTTGTTGCAGACCATGGATACCCTTTCCCTGATGGCCTCTTTCAGCAGAGTAATGCCCCCTGCTACGAAGCAAAAATGGTTCAGGAATGGAAACGCAACAAGTTCAAGGTGTTGACTTCAAATTCTTCAGATCTCAATCCAATCCACCATCTGTGGGATGTGCTGGACAAACAAGTCCGATCCATGGAGGTCCCCTCACAGATTACAGGACTTCAAGGATCTGCTGCTAACAGCTTGGTGCCAGATACCACAGCACACCTTAGAGTTCTACTGGAGTCCATGCCTCAACGGGTCAGGACTGTTTTAGCAGCAAAAGGGGGACCTACACCATATTAGGCTGGTGGTCATAATGTTGTGGATGACTGGTGTACTTTTGGGGCTCGGCACACAGAATCTTCTCCAGGCTCATGAAGCTTTTGACAGTTTCTCTTGCATCATTAATCCTCTGCAGGACCACCTGCGGTCGTGTCAGTATGAGCAGCTGCAGTGCTGCAATCCAGGCTGCGAGACGGTGCTACAGAGGAGATACCTGCAGGAACACCTGACCAACACCTGTCCTCACCGCTTGGAGCCCTGCCTCCACTGCCAGCAGCCGCACCGACTCAGCCTCATGCAGGTAAGGTCACGTCCACACAGGCGGGTTTAATAGTTTGTTGTAGACAAGGACATATGGTCCAGTCCTCTGCTGTGTCGAGGCTTTCTCAGGACAGGCTCAGAAAGTTTTAGATTCAACTGGGGTCCGTCCCTTTATGTTCTTCTTAGGCTGAAGAGGAAGTCACACAGCTTTAACCGCTAAAACTGGGTCTGGGTCATTAAGCTTTG